CATTTCATTTTTCATTTTTTGTTGGTCGGTGAATGATCAGGTCGAACGTACTGAATGAATTTTTCAGATGATTTATGTATGAGCTGCTATTAGTTTTTATTTTTAGTCAATTCATTGAAATTTTTGTTAACATTCTGCACTCTTTAATTTTTTATTCTCTACTAAAGTTTTCGTTTCTTTTGTTCAAACACAAAATATTTGCGGTGTCACACTAAATAAATAGGGTAGTCAGCCGACTTTTTTTGTCGCTGCTTCTTATGTCGACGCTTTTTTTGTTGCTCCGCAAATTTAAGATGCGAACGACGAAGCTACGAGCTGACTACGCTTCATGTTAAAGTAGATCATCAGGATCATTGAAAACAACAAAAATATGAAATATTAAAACAACGACAATTTTAGGAAATTTTTCTAAATTTACATCTTTTCTTTTATTGGAGGGTTTTTTACCGGATCCACCGGTTTTCCCTCCCCTTTCGTTTTGTTTTAGAAAAAAAACAGTGTCCACATTTGGGGCCAAGGAAGTCATTTGTCATAACATTATTCATTGTAGCTATCATGAATATTCACATTTATTTTTTATTCCTCTGCCTTTGGGTATATTTCCCAAAGCACTGCGTTTAATATATATAATGGGATACATTTAAAAAAAATATGCACTCAAGTTTTCTGCTCAGTCGGATCTTCTAATTTTTTAATCTTCGGCATCAACCAACTTAGCGAGAATAAAAAATGATTTTATAAAGTATGGTAGTGTGATTTGCGTACGTAATGAAAATTCCATGATCCTTAAAATATTGCTTTAAACATGAGCAATGTGACGAATTTTTACATTACTCATGGTAATTTGCTTAGCCCAATAATGTTAACACACACCATTCGACAATTTTCTCCCATACCATGAAGTGAGATGTTTTATGTCTATACCAAATACATTCCCTATGATATAGAGAAATGATAACACCAAATACACAGAGATCAATCATGATATTAAATAGTTTGAGATTGAGATTTTTAAACTACAATGTGTTTCTCAACGTCACTGCACATATGAGACTAGCATTATCTTAACAACTATTTTCATTGCATCCTTTCCTGTTGTACCGACAGTGTTTTTTTCTCATAGCTAAGTAATTATAATTGCGTGCAGTTGATGTTCGAAATGCATTCGTAAGTTACAATGGTTTATTTAATAACAAAGTTTCGTTATAATCTATAGTGACTTGTGCAATAATATGCATTAATGGAATTTTTTATTAATAAAGTAAAAAAATCTATTTACAGTTTCCAAAATCGTGTCATAATGGTTGACATTTAAATCTTGTCTTACATAGATGATCCCTTTATTCCCAAGTTAGAACTCGTGAAACTTTATAAGATTTAGCAGTAGTCCTTTGGAATTTTACTAATCTCAATGTTATTATGTACTCTGCATGAGGTTTTTATTTATGTATACTTATTTCTATAACAATTGTTTTTAGTCAGTGATGTATACTTAGTTATAGAACTAGAATGTTCTACATAGACGTCATTAATGTGTATTAATACTGTTTGTTAAAGGAGATCCTTACTCACTCTTCGTCTCCGTTCCTTATTTAAATGTGTTTATGCAACAAAGCATACATGGATAAAGGATTGATGTTACAATAAGGTATGAATTATGATCATCATTTTTTAAACAGATATGTATCTGGTCGCGTTCTTTATGTTAAATCTTTCGTCTTTGTAAGGTATGTGACATGTAAAGAAGTAAAGCAAGCATAATTTTGTGTACACGGTCGTCATATATGAAGTCTTATTTCTAAAACGAAGGTAATTTGTCGAAAGTAAAGCTAGACTCTGAAACTTTATTTCTAACTTTACATAACAAATTTGCTACTGAAGCATTATGATAATGTATGACTAAACATTCAAGAGAAATCGTATTTAAGTTGATACACCAACTTTCTAACTATTGACAATAAGCTGCATAGTAAAGGACAGTAAAACCTTTTTAAATGTATAGGGGAGACAGAATAACATGAGAACATTTTCAACATGTATTACGCTGAATTTTTCTTTAATAACTATACTTGTCGATGCAAAATGGGGGATCTGTAAAAATTTATTAAGGGAAGGCACATGTCCAATCATGAATCACCTCTCTTCTTTGCCGACGCCACTTTTTACTAATCCCTGTGTGTCTAGCAAAATGCTCTTGATTGTATTGAGCAAATTATTCATTTTAAAAGTAAGAACATTTGTAAAATAAGCAAATGTTGAACACAGGAAGAATGTATTTACACAGAGAAAGAACGCAACTGAATCTATTTTGTGAAATGTTGATTCATGCAACACAGTGAGCTTTTTAAATTAAACTTTTGATCATGTTTGTTTAACAGTTTTAAGGTTTACTTTTATTGCATCCTTTACTGTTTTATGTACAGTGTCTTTAATGATCATAAGTAATTATAATTGCGTGCAGTTGATGTTTGCCATGTATTTATACTTTACAATGGTTTATTCAATAACAAAGGTTTTTTTATAATAAGAACTGACTTATGAAAGAATATACATGTGTATGGAGTTTTTGATTGATGAAGGGGAAAAATCCATTCACAGTTTCGAAAATCGTGTCTTAATCAATGGCATTCAAATCTTGTCTTAGATAGGTGATTCTCTATTCCTGAGTTAAAACTTGTGAAACTTTATAAGATTTAGCAGCAGTCCTTTAGAATTTTACTAATCTCAATGTTATTATGTACTCTGCATGAGGTTCTTATTTATGTATTTTTATTTCTATAACAATTGTTTTTAGTCAGTGATGTATACTTAGTTATATAACCAGAATGTTGTACATAGACGTCATTGATATTTTTTTATAATACTGTTGGTTGAAGGACATCCTGATTCACTCTTCATCTTTGTTCGTTATTTAAATGTGTTTATGTAACAAAACTTGCATGGATAAAAAATTCATGTTACAATAAGATTCGAACTATGATCACCATTTTTAAACTGACATGTACATGGTCGCGTTCTTTATATTAAATCTCTCAATTGTTTTAGGTATGTGACATGTAAAGAACTAAAACAAGCATATATTTGTCCACGAGGTCGTCATATATGAAATCTTACTTGTAAAACAAAGGTAATTTTACAAAAGTAAAGCAATATTTTATATTTACATTAACGACCTAACAATTTGCTAAAGAAACATCTAGATGAAGTACGACTAAACATGCATGAGAAATCATACCTAAGTTGATATACCAATTTTTTAACTATTGATAATATCCTGGATGGTAAAGGAACAGTAAAACCTGTTCAGAATAACATGAGAATATTATCTATATGCATGATGCTGCCTTATTCTTTATAAACTGTAATTGACTCTAGTGCCAGTTCCCAAGAATCGAAACAATATTGTTGTCAATGTAAACTTACGAACGCGTAAAGTATTAGTACTTCTAACTCTTTATGGAAAATATACAAATCATTGCGATATGGATACAAAAGGGAACAAGCGGTAATGATACTTTACTTATATTCTGTTGTTTTGTTTGTTGTTTGTTCATTTCCTGTCTAATCTAAGTACATTTTCTGTATGTATCTAGTTGACATCTACTATCAATAATACCAAACGTTGCTTGCGGATGCCAGAACTTTTATGCTACGGGAGTTATACAAATTATACTTGTCTGTAGAAAAATGGGAATACGTGAAAGTTTATGTAGAGGGGGGAACATGTCCAATTCGAAAATTAAACGAGACTTACCTGAAATTGAAGTTTAATTGAACTTCTATGAGTTACAGTTCAGGAACTAGGAAGTCATGTGAGATAGAGCGCGCGATAGTTTTCACTCATTGCACTCATTGCTTCACTCATCTTACAAAGGGTGGTTGCCACTTTCAAATTCTTTGATGTGACTTTCACTTCTTCGCTTTCTTCCATCATGTCATCTTGTTTATCGTGTTCGGCAAATTCCAGGAGTGCTGCTTCATCTCCGACATCATCTCTTGTCGTATACTCTTCACTTGTAGAAACCATAATTCAAGAAATTTGTAATAGGGTGTGGAAAGGAGCTTTTTGTAACTGATCGCTGTGAAATCTACGCTCGAACTGATCTTGATATCGCGCGCTCTATCTCACATGACTTCCTAGTGACGTAGAACAGTGGCTAAATAGAATTATAGATTTATAGTGCCATTGTCGCACAACCTAAGCGTTCTGTTGTGCGGGATACTAAATCACGATTCTTTTAAAGACAAACGTTGTTTCATTACCACGAGTATTAATATCAAAAAATGCTTATCCAATTCGTTTTTTCAAGACTTTAACTCAATGCGTTACCATGCATTAATCAAATGTTCGATAAAATGCGACCATCAAAAATGCGTATTGAAACAACCAGAAACAGCGTTTTCAGTCTCTATATATACTAAACATTCAACAATATAAAATTACAAAGTTTCCTCTTTGCCACGATTGGAAAGAAGGTCTTCCTTAGCAACTCAATGCTTTAAACTTCCCATGTTATGATTATTTATGAAAATTTCTTCCCGTAAACTATTTTATACTGATAAGTTTTACATCGTCCATATTATTGTTAATAAATTGATAACATTTACAACAAACAAGGTTACGTTGCAAGAAAAACTGTCTGTTGCTCATTTCCTTTGCTGTTTTCAGTTACCCAATTTTATGAGCACAAAACGGTTAAAGCCACAAAGAATTCTACATAATTTATGTATTTTTAATGATTCTTTTATTTGTTTGAAAATGACTGACTCAAGTATTACCAACTATTGTCTGACTATAACTGCTGATCTTTGGTTTGGAAACTCAAACTTTGACAAAAAATGGCCATTTGGATCGATATTTGGATACATTTTGGCCTTTTTTCTTTTCTAATAATTTTTCGGAATCATATTGGTAACTTATTTTAAAAGTCTATGTCAAAAACATAAATTTGGTGAGAACCACATATGAACATTTAACATGATCGTTAACTACTTTTCAGCTGTGTCCAGTTACAAGGAAGTGAATCAGAATGATCTCGTAACGAGCCCATCCTTTACATTTGAATACACACGTCTACACTACAATACAAGGAAAGACATAAATGAAGAAATATTTCATTATAAAACTGTGAATTTACGTTGTGAAACGAAGAAATAAGTGTCAAAATGTAGAAATAGTCGTTTTTGGTAATATTTGGTGAGTAAAATTTTACAAAATATATGTTTTAAAACATTATTGTTTAGCTACTCGTTATATTGTATCACAGATTTTACTAACGTTTTGAATTTGAACTTTGATGTAGGTTTTTCAATACGCCGTTGATTTGTTTAATTTTAAAGTTTTGTAACTTATTTTTTTACCATTATTTTTCTTCGTTTTTAGTTTGAAGTTCAAACAAAGGCTTCACAATTAAAACCAAACATTCTTCATTAAAGTAAGTCAGAGTATTTACAGCATTATATTCTAAACAAATTTCTTGTTTGAAAATGGCTTCACCACCTCAAAAACTGAAGATTGAAGCAAACGGATCTCGTTTAAGTAAACTCTTGATAAATAAAGGAACACAAGCTTTGAAAACAACATTGCAGTTTAATATAAATTTTCGCTCGTCAAACCTAAGCGATGAACTTAATAAACCCTCAAATAAAAGTACATTGGAATCATTAAGAAAAAGAAGCGTCATCAACAAAGAGCAATGGAACCTTCTTTACCCATCAACTGGTTTGCCAAATCTTGAAAACTTTGATATTTCATTAATGACTGTCTTATTGCGTAACATATGTGGTCTAACACCGCCACATGGTGGATGGGATAATCTTCCTTTCTCTTCAGATTTTTCAATCTCAGCAAATATTGCAAGAATAAAGTTTTACCGAAACAAAGTGTATAGCCACATAAGCACAACTAGTGTAGATGACAGTACGTTTGAGCAATTGTGGGATGAAATCTCAAAAGCATTGGTTGGTCTGGGTATTCAACAAACTGAAATAGATGAATTAAAGAAAGCTCCACTCAGTCCTGATGAAGTTAATTATACTACAATGCTAAAAGAATGGCATAAAAGAGAAGAGCAGTTAATCGATGTCACTGAAGAAATCATAGAAGATGTAAAAGTAATAAAAAGAGATGTTGTAGAGATCAAACAAGAGATAGCTACAAAAGTTACGAACATAAATGAGGATGTAGCAAGAGTAAAAAAAATGATACAGGGCAAAACATATTCAGTTGTCGAAAAGCTTGGAAAGTGTAATTTTAACGGTCTTATGAAAGATCTTAACATGAAATACCTTGAAGGCACTAGACAATGGTTATTTGAAAAACTCGACACTTGGTTTAACGATAGAAGTGAAGATGCTTCTAATGTCATGATTTTGATTGCTGGTCCTGGCGTTGGTAAAAGTGTGTTTGCTGCTGAGGTGTGTCGACGATATTCTGAAAAGAAGAAACTTGCTGCTTCTCATTTCTGCAGGTATAATAGATCAGATTATAGAAATCCTCGAATATTGATAGAATCATTGGCTAGTAGCATGTGTGATACTATATCAAATTTTAAAAGTAGACTGAATGAAGAATTACAGAGAAACCATTCAAAAGACTCAATCACCGATGCATTCCGTGTTTTATTAAATGATCCATTGCATTCATTGGAAGATCATGAACCAATGATTTTGGTTATTGATGCCTTAGATGAAAGCCAAGTTGATAACAAAAGCGAATTATTGGAATTGATTGCAGAAGAGTTTGACCGACTGCCAAAATGGATTAAAATCTTCATCACCAGTCGTCCAGAACTTCCTGTTCTAAAAGAGTTGAAAGACATGAATCCTGTGGAAATTACAACTCATCCTCGTGATGAAAACAACGAAGAAGACCTGCACAAGTATTTAAGTCATCAGTTGAATGATCGGGTGCAGAAAGATCGCTACCTTCTTCAGTCATTAGTTGAAAAATGTGAGGGATCATTTCTTTATGCTTATCACGCACAACTGAGCTTAAAGAAAGAAGAAATTGAGCTTACAGACGAGAATATTGAACAATTGGTCCCTAGTGGGTTAAGCAGTGTTTACACAAAGCAATTCAAAAGAGTAAAAGAATGGTTAACGAAGGAAAGAACCAGAAACTCTGTTATCGCAGAAACTACTTTCATGCAATTTCTTGAATTGTTGGCTGCCTGTCGGGAGTTTTTACCATTAACATTACTGCTTAGTTATTTAGGTTTTTCTGGTGATATCAACTTTGAAGTCCGCAGTAAAATCATTGAACCATTATCTCAAATTTTGCCAGTTTACGATGATTGTTTAACCGTGTATCACAAATCTCTACTTGATTGGTTGAAGTCAGATGGTTACGAACAGCATGAGTTTACAGTTAATCCAAAAAACGGTCATAAGTTCTTATGGCATGCTTGTGAGAAAGTGTTTAAACAAATTAAGTCGATGAACATTTTTGAAGATCAGATTAAAACTGCTATGATTAAATATACTTTGAAGAATGGTGTCCACCATATGATAGAATGTGGCGAAAATGTTGACTTTAGCTGGGCAGTAGATGTCAAAGTGCTTTGTGCGAGGTTAATTGGTGAAACAATGAATACCATTAGGTTAGAATTGTCTGAAATCATTAAAAAAATTCGAACTTTTTTGAGAACAGATGTACTTGAGGAACAACTGTTTCACTTGTTTATGACAATGAGCCCTAGATCATATATGATTGATGATAGCTTATTTTATTTACAAACTATTGCAAATAGAATTCATGGCAGCAACGAAAAAAGATTATTGACGAGGGATTTATTGAAACAGGGAAAGTTTGTTTGGTTTGAGGATTTACACTCAACATATTTAACAAACCATCATCATTTGACTGTCTCCTTGCGTGCTAACGTTACATCACTTTGTGTGTCGTCCAATGAAGAACTTCTTGCTGTAGGATATGATAATGGTCAAATATCTATTTTTGAACTTCCTGAATGCAAACAACAACGCACTCTAGGCACTGTACTCGATAATTCAAAGTTGTATAAGTGGGACAGTGTTAATACATTAATGTCCCGGTATGACATATATGACTATCCAACATTAAAGGACTTTTGTTTTGAACTTGGAATCATCTGTTGTTGCTCCTTTTCACCTACCGGAAATAGACTGGTAACTAGTGATGGATCTAATGAAGTAAAGTTGTGGGACGTTAGCAATGGACGTTTGTTGTTGTGTTTACAGTCAGATGATGTCGTTAATCGTTGCTCTTTCTCTGATTCTGGTTTGTTTATTACAGCAAAATATGAAAAACATTACAAGGGACTTTCTAAAGATGTGTTCACTGCATGGAATTCATTAACTTTGCAAAGAATAGATCGACGCTGCGTTGTTGATTACCAAAAACTACAATCCACAGATAAATATTCAGAGTTCTTTGGTGCAGAATTTGTCAAGACTTCGTATGTTTTTCAATTCCCAAAGGCAATCGATATTTTTTCAAGAAAAAAGAAATATTCACCACCTTTAAATTTAATTATAACACACCATTATCGTGATTGTATTTTTTATCATATAAGCCAGAATGGAAAGCTTTCTGAAATCACAAAATACAACGATCGAGGAGAAATCGGATTTTGTTTACCGAATGTTAGGTGTCCATGTTTTTGGAGGAATCTTAAAGACGTTCATCCCATCTCGTTGAAGGAATTTTACGTTGTGCCGTATTTTTCCAAGCTTAAGTTTTTCAAAACTGATCATTTTCGGAGACCTTCATTTATCTTTGAGAAATTTGAATTTAAGTGTTGTTGTTTTTCACCGGATGGATCTTTTTTTGTTGCTTTCGCTGTTGGTGACCACGTCAACATTTATATTTGGAGCATTGAACGTTGCATTATTATTCAAACTGTACCAATGCAACTGAAGAATGCATTAGGATGTTGGTGGTCGGATGGTTTACTGTGGATATGGGATGGTTCTGATCATCTTACGAAGATATCAACTTTGTCTGAAAATTTTGTAGATTCTACTGAAGCAAAGCATGTTACCATTGGATTTAAACCTAAGAAAATCTTCACATTTGGTGATGTCTTAGTTTGTATTAACGAAGAAAAGTTTGTTCAAATTGTTAGTATTATTAAGGGTGAGATACAATGCAACAAAAGACTTCCTGTCCATAGTTCAAAAGTTAAAGCAGCAGCTGTATCACCTGATAATTCTGTTATTTTAACTGTAAACAAAACAGAATACACAATATGGAAATGGGGAAATAACAATAATGAACTTTACTTGAAACCTTGGCACACTGCAAAAATACCCATAACGTCTTTTATTGAAAAATTTGTTGAAGAACAGTTAACTGTAACTTGTCATAAAGTCTGTTGCTCTATAAGTGATAGTAACCAAGCGGTCATTGCATTCTCTTTCAAAGACAACGATCATTTTTACCTGGTGACTGGCATTTATGTAATTAATATGCATCAAAACAATGACGTGAGTGCGATTTTGCATAGTATCTTTGGATTTTTATGGTCTAGCCCAATTGTACATAAATCATATTTCATTGGTCATCTTGACATGTTGGTTGCTGTTGATTTAAAGAGTGGTAAAAGGTGTGCTGAATTTTACGGATTAGATTCTGTATCTAATATAACTATGCATTACAATACAGGAACTTTAGCTTTAGTAACAAATGGTGGATGCGGAGTTCAATTTTTAAAACTCAATGTTCCTGAATAAGTCCACTAATTCAACCTTTGTAGTTATATTAACTTATTGTACTTACTAACATTACATATCATTTAAAACATAAAAAGTTCTTTATATCACAGAAAAACAGTTATTTATGGTATCAACAACAAATTCAAAAATATTGCAGAAAAAATTGTCCATATCCTTTGTTTTAACCTTGGAAAAACTGGCAGTTTTTAATTATGCAAAAATATCGCGGACAAAGAGAGAGAGAGAGATTAGTTTTTTATAATGTCAAGTAAAGATCTTTTTCATCTTATGATTCCCGTCAACTTTGAAATTTATACTTGGAGAATTCAACACTGTAACTTTGTCGAAGTTGTGATGAAATTGAGAATATCCTACGAAGATGTTGATTGTCGTAAGGATGTGTAATATTGCTATCTTTTATTTTCAAGTATTGTTACAATAGTGTTCCTTATGCTGTCCTAACATAACCTAACATTAAATTGTTCTCCGTGTTATATATCTCCTTCTCATATTACCAACTTTAACTATCCAATCAGACACACTTATATATATGATCGTTATCACTATTACATCACTAACTCTTTTTCAAAAATGTTAAGTTCAACATAAAGGATGTCTATATCTTTCTTGTGGTTTAGTGTTTCGACTTGATGTAGGAATAATTGGTCCAATTTCATAAACGCCATTGTTTGTTAAGTCGTCATTACAGTTGTTTGTAGTCCTTGTTTCATCTTCATCATCATCATCGATATCTAATGGCTTATTGATATGTATCAACCTTGAAATGTGAAACATTTTTCGTTATAAAGCGATCATCTTTGCATCGTACAGTTACTCGAGAACGATATCTGCATACTACTTTACATGGTGTTTTGCTAAAATGAGGTGTTAGCTTGTTTTCTCTTTGTTGCTATTCAAGAACATCATCGCCAACTTTTATCTGACTGGTCTTTATATTTCGCTTGTTATCAGCATATTGTTTGTGGTATGCTTTCTGGCCCGTTTTTTTTCGCACTTCTTTATGACGACTGATGGTGTTCCTTTTTTTGAGCGATATACAACTTCCCTTAACCGTTCAGTTGAACAATAGTTCAGCGGGTGAAAACCCAGTTGTCGTGTGATGTGTTATACGGTTTTGTAACAGGAATCTGTTGAGTTCGTGTCGCCATGGACAATTTTCAAGTCTTGCAGTTTTGAGCGTTTTACCGTGTTTTGCCAAAAACAATGATGTTCTCTGCAATGTGCTTTTCGTGTTTTGCCAAAAACAATGATGTCATCTGCAATGTTCTTTTCGTGTTTTTGTCAAAAACAATGATGTCGTCTGCAATGTTCTTTTCGTGGTTTGCCAAAAACAATGATGTCCTCTGCAATGTTCTTTTTGTGTTTTGCCAAAAACAATGATGTCCTCTGCAATGTTCTTTACTCCACGTAGTCGTTGTTGTGTTAGCAAAGTGTATTGAAACATTTCTTCAGCAGCATTTGTTCCATAGAGTTTAGCCTTTTGTATCAAAAAATACCAATGTGTGTGCTGAACGTGGTAATGTATCGGCTTGATTCGTCAAATTCTAGATGATGATATGCCTGCGAAATGTCAAGTTTGAAGAAGTACTTTGCGCCGTTTAATTCAAAACTGATGGCCTCGTTTGTAAGACGCATATCTACACAAAGTCTAACACCTCCGTTTTTCTTAGGGAATGCGACAATAGGTGATACCCATGGGTGATCATGATATTAAGAAATTTTCGTTCCATTTAATGAAACGGTACATAAAGATTTACCATTCTTATATGTCAAAGCAAATTAGTTTTATTTTATGTACGCGTCGATCTATGTCAAACAAATATTGTTTGTGACTTAAAATTGACTAAAAACATTCATTTATGTAGTTACAATTTAAATCTAAACCTAGTTTAAAGATTGTTTCAACATTCGTATAACAAGCATTAAAACATGATTTTTGTCAAACCACCAAATATTACAGGTCACAAATATTTATTCAAATTATATTTCAAACATTGTGTGGGAATTAGTAAATGGAAGCGTTTTGTTGTTATTCGGAAGTTATTTCGGTCATCGTTGATTTTAAACCATCGCTGTAGAGGATTTGTACGGTGGCTCACATGGTTCACACACAAATAAAAAAATATGCACATAAATTTGTTAAAATATATGAAATAGCCTACACATATTAAAGAAAGCAAAACTCTGGGCGCGCATGACAGCATTTTACGTTAAAAACAAACGCCGTCTAGTATGTCTAGCTTTTCCTCTTCATCATTTTTACAGTGGTTTTTAATAAGGCATGTTCTGGCTGCACTGAAAACAACTTAAAAGATGGGACAGTAAACTGCGAAAGCTGCGACGCCATAGAAATATTTGTAACCGTGGCTATCCATACGATGCTATTGTTAATAATGATGTGCAAATATCACAAGTGACATTGAAAAACCGTTTTAGACGTTAAGGGCTGATAAGAAAAGGAATATTTATAACGAAGAGCAATTGCGTTTTCTTATTAATGAAGAAATTCAAGGGCCTGGACAGCTTTCTTGACAACGAGGAATTTGGCATTCTTTGCGCTTAAAACATGGTGTGCATGTAAGCCATCGTGTTGTTTGTAAACTGCTGAGAGAGATTGACCCTGAGGGTGTTGAGTCAAGGAAGACTAGGCGACTACACAGAAGATCATAAACCAGCAATGCGGCAAATGTCTGTTCGACCTTGGTATGATTTTTTTATGTTAATATAATCCTGCTTCCTCTCAACCTCTCCTTGCGAAAAGGCTTAAACCACCATTAGAGGGAGAGAGCCAACTTTAAACATTGGTCACAAATGTGTGATAGGCTTGAAAAGTAGGGTTAAGATTAACATTTAATCAATAATGTCAAACTTAAGAAATTTAGAAAAGGATATATGGTGAAACTGTTAAAAGACAATTGACCATCCGTGACCATTTGAAGATAATATTCCCAATGCATCTGAGAATAAGAAAATAGCAAAATTCTCCTTTTAATTGTTCCACATAAATGTTACAAGTATTCTCTGCTATAAATTGATGCAGTTAATGCAATGAGTACTTCAAACTGTTGATCAAACTGAGCAAAATGCAAAAGTTATAAAACGCGAAAGTTACCAAACCAATAAGCTTATTGCTTTTTTAAGATCTGTTCTTAGCAGATGACACTTAAGTTTCTACGAAGCAGAATACTTCTCGGAATCATGGAAGTCCATCGCGAAGCGAGGATGACGTCAGTGGCGCCTCATATGGGGTGAGGCGTACTGATTCCTGGGCAAGTAGTATGGAAGTCCTGCGCTGCCCAAACTCCAAGACTCCCCTCTCGGCCTAGACGATGTAGTCCAAAGTCCAAAGGAACACATAGTGCTACAGTTTGGAATCGCTTAGGCTGCAGGAGCTGCCAGAAAGATGACAGGGTATGTCAGCAGAATGCCTTTGGAGCCCCACTCCGGGTTTCTGTCAGGTTTACTCCTTAGCCTTGTCTTCTCCCGACGATGCCCACAAGGCAGTGAGACCATTTATCCATGGGTGGAGCACACTTGGTCGTTAGGTCACTCCTGTGGACCCTCCTTCCTGGCCATTGGCTGCCTGTCGCCGCTCGTCCGCCCAGTGGTGCAGTGTAAACACCACCCCCTCACATGGTTTAGCCCGCCTGCTGAGACGGTGACCGGAGCATGGCGCTTGGAGCCACATGTGAGAGATTTAGGGATGAGTGGGGACCAGTGATGCCCGTCCACCCTACCAGGTAAAGTGCAGCAGCCAGACACCAAAGGTGCTACCCCTCCCCAGAGCCCCAATGCCCCACTTCTCGGAATAACTCTGTGTGAACAGATATGGCTTCCAGAGCACCCAAAGCATTCAAGCTTTCCTTGAAACTGGTGTATTATGGTTCGCATCTTCTTAAAACATACCAATTGATTGTGGACTGGACAACTTTTTCACATCATCTTTTGATTGCTCACTTTCATTGTGCCCGCCATATCAAAC